AGGACAACTCACAGTCACTATACAGAGTTTACCACTCTCCCTCTCCATTTTTACACATATATACACACACACATATATGTATATATATTTATCCATACATACATATTATACATACATATATATATATATATATATATATATGTGTGTGTGTGTGTGTGTGTGTGTGTGTGTGTATAATTTGTATGTATGCATATATATATATATATATATATATATATATAAGTTATGAAAACTTGGTAATCTTTATCGGTAGTCCCATGGAGGATGAAATCTTGAGAGCTCAATGTAAATCCAGAGCTAATAATTTAAAGAAATACAGACCACTTTAAGGTTCCATTATAATAATTTATTTCACCAGAGCCCTTTTAAGGGAAGCTGGATCATCAGATAACACTTACAAAAAATGAAACGAAAGGCAACCTACTGCGGGAAAAATGGCCTCGCCAGTCATGTATCGACACATGTATGATCGCTTATGCATGTTTCACGCATCGCACATAACTGACTGAAGAAACTCGGCCATAAATGTCAGAGGATCCTATTAAGAAACTTGTATAAACTGTTTAATGAGACATATCTTAATGAAAACAAAATATGCTCACTATATATATATATATATATATAGCGTGGGTGTGTGAGCGCATATATGTGTATATTGTTAATTAGCATGTATAGCGGAATACTTTACTAAGCGGGATAGTAAATTTTCTGATGCATTAATTTATTATGAAGTAAGGTCTAGAAAATCAGTATGCCAAATGATTACTTTTTCCTGTGCTCGAACGCAAACTTTTGTCATCATTAGGATGAACGTTATTATCTCAAATACCAGAGCACAACACAATTTTTTTATTGGTTATCTTTGGGGCTAAATTGTTTTCCGTTTCGAAAAATTACATTTTTTTTTAACGATATTAATTCTTTACACTATGCTAGTCAAATACGGTTATATATATATATATATATATATATATATATATATATATATATATATATATATATATATATGTATGTATGTATGTATGTATATAAATAAAAAGAAAGAACAGTAAGATATATAATCCGGTGTTCTTATAGGTATTTTTATTTTTACAAAATAGTGCTCGATGTAAATTTACAGAGCATTAATATTATAAATTAATTGATTTAAAATATGTTTTTTCCGCTACACAGTTCTAACCATGTTTCAAAAATGGAAGCTAAAAGCCACGAATTTAATTTTGCAATTAAATTAAAGACATTAGTTCCATTTCATCCTCAAGCGAATTTATATATATATATATATATATATAAATATATATATATATATATATATGGTTTTAATGTATGGTATATTTATAGGTAAAACTGCTCAATATTCTGGAGTTCAAGCATGAAACAGACTATCGCTACACGGTGTTGACAGAAGTGTCTAAATATGGAGACGGAAAAATAAACCTGAAAATTAAAATGACTTAACATATCGTTTGTTATAAGACTCTACAGACGGGACAACTTTCCTTTTACTACTTAACCGGCTAGTTATCGCTCCCTACGCAATAGTGAGTTTGATTCTCACTGCGTACTCCACTCTTACGCACAGCTACTACACTGAGCTACGCTTAGTATATGACATAGTATATCACGCAATAATTAGCAGGCTACCAGCGTGTATATGTCATTTTGAAATGGGGCTTAAGAAATGACATATGTTTTATATTCTGTCGCCTTGAATCCTGTTATTTTTATTGTCTTTCTTCCTTAGTAACCCCTTGCATCTCAGTGGCTTTATCACCTTCCTTGGAATAAAATGATTGAAATAAAATACATTTTTGTAAAGATTACTAGGATTTGAAAATGTAGGGAATATTTTGAATGCTTCGGTACGTTTTTTAACATTATATTAACGGAATAATAATAATAATAATAATAATAATAATAATAATAATAAAAATCTGCAACTTCTACGCGAAGAAAACTGAAAGAAACTGGTATGAACACCACCCAGACCCGGTTACGGAGATAGGACCTGTTACAATTCTATGAGACTACACAATACACACTGACATAATAATCAAGGCCAACCGCCCAGATATTGTTATTAAAGACCATAAACAAAAACGGTGCCTCCTTATTGATATGGCAGTCCCTGCTGACTGCAATGTATCTTTGAAGATATTCAAAAAGCTGTCAAAATACAAGGACCTTGAAATAGAAATCCCGAAAATGTGGCATATGGGAACATCAACAATCCCTGTTGTAGTTGGAGTCCTAGGACTGGTTGGAAAAGATTGCAGTAGACTAATTGAAGGGATTCCTGGAAGTCCATGACTCAAGGAGATACAAAAAATTGTTCTGACAAGTACAGCCCACACTTTACGAAGGGCTTTATCTATGTAATTTTTTTTTTTTTTTTTTTTTGTCAGTGGAAAGTGCCATGATGCCATTTCTAATCTTAGGTCCCTGGGCGGGACCCGGAAAGAAATGTGTAAACGCCAGAAATCAAATAAAATAATAATAATAATAATAATAATAATAATAATAATAATAATAAACGTAAACGAAAGAAGCAGATATGGACAAACAGAAACAAACCAAAAAACACATCAGTGACTAAGGAGCACCGGGTTGAAAGCTGAAACAGAAGACCTATTTATTGCAGCTTAGGACCAAAGCCACGCCACCAAGGATCGAACTGTCCCGAAAGGCAAGATCTGCTGAAAATATGATGAAGCTGTCGACCATATCATCTCAGGATGTCCGGAACTATCAAAAAAATGAATATACCCACAGATATAACAAGGTAGCGATATATGTGCACTGGAAGATATGCAAGAAGCAGAAACCAGACACAGATAACAATTTAACTATCCTCTGGGACATGCCAATTCAAACTGACAGGGAAATAAAAGTCAACCGATCTGATATTATCACACAAATAAAGAAATTCAGGAAATGTTTGCTTATTGATTGTACCATCTGAGAGAAACACCTCCATAAAAATTATCGACAAATTGTCCAAATATTAGGTTGGTGCAAAAATATTGACGTAATAACGTCGTTTTTTGACGTATTTTTTAACGTCAAAAAACGACATTGTTACGTCATTATTTTTGCACCAACCTAATACAAGGACATAGAAATCGTGATTAACAGGATGTCGGGAATGAAGACTGAGACTCTACAAACAGTAATCGGAGCTCTGGACATCATGAAAAAAAAGGAATGGGCAATTTTACAGTGCCCCAGGTAATATCAACATAAAAGTTGCCCAAAAGATCGCCCTACTAGGAGTATTTCATATACTAAGATAAGTGCTATCAATTAAATAACAATTCTCCTATTGGGCCTAAGAACCATATCTTGGGCCCCGCTCTACAGGATACAAAGCAGAAAATGTAGCATACCCAAATAATAACAATTGATATTTTAAAAGCTTCGCTCTGTTTTTGACATTATAGTAACGGGTAAATTTTATTCTGCGTAAATATCTGCATCACAAGGTTTTTTTTCTATATTGTCCTATCTCTTTCAGATTCTTTTATTTGTTGATATTAATCGATTGTGCGAATTTATTCTCTAGTCTTATAAAAAAAATAATACCAAGATCTGCTAAAATAATAGCTTACAATATCTGAAATGACTCCTTTCTTAAAGACGATGTTACCATTTGTAATGTTAGCCGTCGGATCATTATTAAACTAATAGGAAAAATTCTAAATTCTGTAGGCCCGGTGATTTTGAGGGACGCCCTCATTAAATACGTTGAAACTTGCCTCGTGAAAACAGCATCTTCCAAGCTGGCAGTTTTATTTATTTATTTTAGTGGGTTGCATGTGTCTGAGTGTGTGTGTGTGTGTTTTTAATTATTTTCTTGAACAGTGGAATTATAACAATCGGTCGAAATTGAGAACTCCTACTGAAGAAAGAATGATCTTCTGACAAGAATCGAAACTATATCCCTTTACCATCCAACAAACCCCTTCTTTAGCTAAAAGGTTAATCAAACCTCCCCCTATCAACGCGGCATACGTCACAAAACCGGGAGCGGCACGTTTCGGCTATAAAAATGATTAAAAAGGAATAGAGATTCGATTCCTGTAGGATTTCTTAAACTGGGCCGGTTGTTAGCAATTTCGTTGTATAAGAAAGAAAAAAACATCAAAGATAGCAACACAAACATGTCTACCCGCTAAAAATAACGTTTATAATGTAATAATGTCAGATACAAAAAAATCTCTCAAAAATGTTAATGTTTACATATCTGGAGGAATTACTTCTGTTATTATTCTTATTCAAACGTCTCGTGGAATCGTTTACTTCATATATTTTCTGAGTTTCTTGATAGAAGTTAAATACTCGTTTTAAGCGCGTTCATTATGACATTATAATAATTAGACGTGTGTTTTGGGTAAAATTGAAGGCTCCTTCATAGCATATGCTACAGGAATCGTACTCCCTTAATCTGGCCCAATATTACGCAAACAATTTAATGATAATAGTAATAATAATAATAATAATAATAATAATAATAACAACAACAAAAAGATCAGAGAAAAGAAAACCTCTTTTCCCGCTCTTTTTAGTCGGTTATCTTTCGATTTAATCTGTTTGTTGATATTTGTAATCTGACGATGAGAGTTGAACAAGTAATTATCGCATTGTGATGCACTTGCAATCGGATTTTTGGAAACTCAAAAACACACACCCGGATGTCAGCACCGCACGCGGACAACCCATTCCTTGATCTTCCTGACAATTCGTCTTTCGTTCTCGTCATTTCTTCTCTCTATCCCTCCACAAAATTCGTTGGACGATATATTCTGTGTTTTTCAGTCGATTGATTAATTTAGCAAATATTTTACACGTCCAGATTTAAGTCATCTTTTTATCTCTCTTTTTATGGTGGTTCTCTTTTATTCTCTCTTTCCCTCTTTTTTTCACCCGCCACCATTCATTTAGATTTTTTCTCCATTTTCTTTTTGTTTAATTTCTGATTTTTGTACACGTATATTTTGGCAATGCAGTTATTTCCTTTCTTTTTTTCTTTCTTTTTCTTTCTTTATTTCTTTTTCCTTCTTTTTTTCTTTTTCTTTCATTCTTTTTTCTTTCTTTCTTTCTTTCTTTCTTTCCGTTTAATCCTTTCATCATTTTTTGATTCTGCCGTTCTTTCCCTTATTTTTCTCTTTCTTTCTCTTTCTCTCTTTCTCTCTTTCTTTCCTTCTTTCTTTCTTTCTGTTTACCTCTCTTATTATCAATATTTGATTCTCTCGTTCTTTCTTTCTTTTTTCTTCCTTTTCTTTCTTTCTGTTTACTTTTCTTATCCTCATTATTTGATTGATTCGTTCTTTCTTTCTTTTTTCTTTCTTTTTTTATCCTCATTATTTGAATCTACTCTTTGTTTCTTCCCGTTTAATTTCGATATCCACATTATTTAATTCTTTCTTTCTTTCTTTCTTTCTTTCTTTCTTTCTTTCTTTCTATTTATTTCTTCTCCCCTCATTATTTGATTAGCCCCTTCATTTTTGTTTGTTAATTTCTTTTTTTTTCTTTCCTTCTTTATGTTTCTTCAGTCATCCTGAATTACTTCGTTCTTGTTTTAGACTTTAAATATATCTGGCTACTGTTTGAAAAGCATACTCTAGGCTTTTCGAAACAGTAAATTTCTTTCTTTCTTTTCTTCTTTCTTTCTTTTTCATTATTTAATTGTTTTCCCATTATTTATTTTTTATTATTATTCTGATGTCTTTCATTGTGTTTTATTAAATATTTCAAGCCATTATTTAAACGGCATAATTTAAGACTAACAAAAGTATACTTTTTTTCTTTCTTTCAATCATTCGTTATTTTTCTTTCTTTCAATCATTCGTTATTTTTCTTTCTTTCAATCATTCGTTATTTTTCTTTCTTTCAATCATTCGTTATTTTTCTTTCTTTCAATCATTCGTTATTTTTCTTTCTTTCAATGTTGTCTTACATTCTTCCTTTTTTCTTTTTATCTTTTTTTCATTAGTTTATTTTTCATTCTTTGCTCTTCTTTTCTGTTTTTCATTTTTTTCTTTCTCTATATTTTCCCTCATTTCTTTTATTTTTTCTTTAAATGTTTTCTTTTTATTTATCCTTTTTCTGTATTTTCTTTCTTTATATATCTTTTTATCACTCATTTATTGGGTCGTTCGTCTTTTCATTCAGTTTTTTTTATTTACGTTTTATTTATTTTTCTGTATTTTTCTTTACTCCTTCCCTTATATATTTAACGCTTCATATAAACTGCCTCACTCGATATTTCTTTCTCTCTCTTTCTCTCTCTCTTTCTTTCTCTCTCTCTCTCTCATTCGTTTTTTTCTTCTTTTTTTGTTTTTTTTAGAACATTAATTCCTTATTTATTTTTATTTTTTCTTTCATGGCTTCTACTACTTATTTAATATATATTTTCGTTCACCCTTTCTTTATTTTCTTTCATTTCTTCCTTACTTAAATATTATGATGATTTTGTAAGTGTAGCTTAGTTACAAGGACTAAAATATGGAATACCCAGTGAAGATCGAACTCTCTATTCAGTCATGATTCCTTGCGTCTGTATTAAGATCCACATGATTCGACTGAACGAATCAGATATGATTTTAATGGCATAATCGCATTTTTATATCTCCACTACTTTTCTTTAATCGTTCTTTCTTTCTCCAAGCCCCTTCTTCTGTCTGTCACTCTCTCCCTCTTTCTACCTCCCCGTTTTCTTTTTTCTATACGACTCTCCTTTTTCAACATCTCTCTCTTTCTTTCTGCCCCTCTCCATCTATTTACATATCTCTCCATTTTCATGTATGACTCTCCTTTTTCAACACGTCTCTCTTCTTTCTGTCACTCTCTCCCTCTTTCTACCTCCCCGTTTCCTATTTCTATACGACTCTCCTTTTTCAACATCTCTCTGTTTTTTTCTGCCCCTCTCCATCTATTTACATATCTCTCCATTTTCTGTATGACTCTCGCTTTCCAACCCGTCTCTCTTCTGTCTGCCTCTCTCTCCCTCTTACTACCTCCCCGTTTCCTTTTTTCTATACGACTCTCCTTTTTCAACATCTCTCTCTTTCTTTCTGCCCCTCTCCATCTATTTACATATCTCTCCATTTTCATGTACTACTCTCCTTTTTCAACACGTCTCTCTACTTTCTGTCACTCTCTCCCTCTTTCTACCTCCCCGTTTCCTTTTTCTATACCACTCTCCTTTTTCAACATCTCTCTCTTTCTTTCTGCCCCTCTCCATCTATTTACATACATCTCCATTTTCATGTATGACTTTCCCTTTTCAACACGTCTCTCTTCATTCTGTGACTCACTCCCTATTTCTACTTCCCCGTTTCCTTTTTCTATACGACTCTCCTTTTTCAACCTCTCCATCTATTTACATATCTCTCCATTTTCTGTATGACTCTCCCTTTTCAACACGTCTCTCTTCTTTCTGTCACTCTCTCCCTCTTTCCGTCTCTCTCTTCTTTTTCTCTACGACTCTCCCTTTACATGTCACACCTCTCTGTCACTGTCTCTGTCTTTCCACATCTCTATTTTTTTCTGTACGATTCTCTCTTTTCGACATGTCTCTCTTTCTTTCTATCCCTCTCTCCATGTTTCTGTCTTTCTCTCGTTTTTTCTATGCGACTCTTGCTTTTTAGGATGTTTCTCCTTCTTTCTGACACCCTCTTCTTCTTTCTTTCTTTATCCCCCATTTTCTGTACGGCTCACACTTTTCAGCATATCTCTCTTTCATCCCGACACTCTCTCCTTCTTACCGTCCTTCTGCTTTCTCTGCATGACTCTTGCTCTTCAACATGTCTCTCTTTCTTTCTGTCACTCTCTCCACCTTTCTGCTTCTTTCTTTCCTTTTTTCTCTATGACACTCCCTTTTCAGCATGTCTCGCCTTTTTGTCACCCTCTCCATCTTCTTCCACTAACGCCCTTCTTCCTTCATTCCGACACTCTCTCCTTCTCTCAGCTACTCTCTTTCTCTCTCTCAATCTCTCTCTCTCTGTTTTATCTGCATGACTCTCGCTTCTCAGCATGTCTCTTGTCCTTTCCGATACACTCTCCTTCTCCCTGCCCCTCTCTCCTTTTCCTGTACGACTCTCACTTTTCAGCATGTCTCTCTTTCTTTCTACTCCTCCTTTCTTCTGACGATCTTTTTTATGTAATATTTTTATCCAGTTCCTTAATTAAAAAATATACATATATACTTAAAACAATATATCAGCATAAAATTAGAAGCCACCGTCACCCCCCACTGAATCTCATTCTCTTACAATCCGTGTAACCACCTGCATCCTAGGGGTATTCTCGCCTTCTTTGGGGGGGATTATTTAAAAAAATCAATTGCTTCTTTCTGATTTGACGTAGAAGCCACCTTTTTGTTTTCATTTTTCCTAAAACTTCTTAGTTGTTCACATATACCGTCCATATACTGTCCATGACTTTAGATAGATAGATATGAACAGATTAAGATATATATATATATATATATATATATATATATATATATATATATATAGATAGATAGATAGATAGATAGATAGAATGAACAGATTAAGATATATATATATATAGATATATATATTGATATATAACAGATTAAGATATATATATATATATATATAGATAGATAGATAAATTGATAGATATGAACAGATTAAGATATATATATATAGATAGATAGATAGATAGATTGATAGATATGAACAGATTAAGATATATATATATATATATAGATAGATAGATTGATAGATATGAACAGATTAAGATATATATATATATATAGATAGATAGATTGATAGATATATGAACAGATTAAGATATATATATATATATAGATAGATAGATTGATAGAATATGAACAGATTAAGATATATATATATATAGATAGATAGATTGATAGATATGAACAGATTAAGATATATATATATATATAGATAGATAGATTGATGAATATGAACAGATTAAAGATATATATATATATATATTGATAGATATGTACAATTAAGATATATATATATATATAGATAGATAGATTGATAGATATGAACAGATTAAGATATATATATATAGATAGATAGATAGATGATTGATAGATATGAACAGATTAAGATATATATATATATATATATAGATAGATAGATTGATAGATATGAACAGATTAAGATATATATATATATATAGATAGATAGATTGATATATAACAGATTAAGATATATATATATATATAGATAGATAGAAGATAGATAGATATGAACAGATTAAGATATATATAGATAGATAGATAGATTGATAGATATGAACAGATTAAGATATATATATATATTACTGATAGATATGTATAAGATATATATATATAGATAGATAGATATTGATAGATATGAACAGATTGATATATATATATATAGATAGATAGATTTTGATAGATATGAACAGATTAAGATATATATATATGATATATATATATAGATTGATAGATATGAACAGATTTTATATATATATATATATATAGATAGATAGACAGATAGATATGAACAGATTAAGATATATATATATATAGATAGATATATAGATATGAATTGATGAATAGATAGATAGATAGATATGAACATATTAAGATAGATAGATAGATATGAACATATTAATATAGATAGATAGATATGAACAAATTACGATAGATAAATAGATAGATAGATAGATATGACCAAATTAAGATAGATAGATAGATAGATATGACCAAATTAAGATAGATAGATAGATATGAACAGATTAAGATAGATAGATAGATAGATAGATATGACCAAATTAAGATAGATAGATAGATAGATAGATATGACCAAATTAAGATAGATAGATATGAACAGATTAAGATCGATAGATAGATAGATATGACCAAATTAAGATAGATAGATAGATATGACCAAATTAAGATAGATAGATAGATATGACCAAATTAAGATAGATAGATAGATAGATAGATATATAGATAGATAGATATGAACAGATTAAGATTGATAGATAGATAGATAGATATGAACAGATTAATATATATATATATATATATATATATATATATATATATATATATATAGATATAGATATATATAGATAGATAGATAGATAGATAGATAGATAAAGAGTGTTTCCTCATATTAATGTAAACTCTTTGGTAAGTTTTAATTTTTGCAAATTTAATTAATCTATTTTATAACAATAAACTATTATGAAATCAAAAAAAATTATCAGGAAAAGTCCAGTAGCTCGTTATAATTTTCATCGTGTGCCGAACGGTTTCTTGTACACTTATGTTAACAAATGGTACCTTCTTTACTTGAAAATCTACACAATGTTTCTTTTTCCAATTTTTTTTCCAATTGATACCATTTTAATATATTCTTGTGATCATTTCGACTATTTTAAGTATCATTTAATCTGTAAGTTTCAGACTATTCACATCATAAAAAGTATTTTAATTCACTTAAAAGGTATATATATATATATATATATATATATATATATATATATATATATATATATATTCGCGCTCGCGTGTGTAGGGGTATCAAAATTACTTTTTACAAAATTTGGTGGCGGGTTTCTCAATCCAAATCAAGGTCAAAAGTTCATATAAACCTATGTTGCCTGAAGCTTCGTTTTTGAGTTATTAATCTTAATTTCAAGTTAGACGCTTTTAAATGTACAATTCAAGATGCAATTCAAATTACTTATTAGCATAGTTTGTGTTTCCACGGATCCTGCCTCAGCAACGCGGCGATAAACAGCAGCAAATATTGGATGATTCGGCTGCCTTCGGTCTAGAAACGCAATCTGATACAGCCATGCAGCCTCGCGTCCATTACGTAAAAATCATATCTGCCTGGTCACGATATTAATATTCAAACGCACATTAAAGGTTGCGGCCACAAATATACACGATTGACAGATGTAACCTAGTCTACTTTACAACATAGCGCCATCTAACGTAAACTTTCCTTAAACTTAATAACCCCGAAACGAAGGATTCGCAGACATATGTTTATATAGATTTTTATCCTTTTTTTCACGAACCAGTTCACAGAATTTGTAAAGTGTTTTTGATACATCCTGTATATTTATATATATTATTTTATCAATTTAAATGTTATATCTCTATTTGAAGATGATTTCTTTACGGTATTTCAGTAACTCATCAAGCCTTTTATATTTGATTATTAATACTTTCTCTTTAATGAAGAGGTCACAACTTTCTCTAAAGATGCTATGAGTTCTAGCCCTGGTATATATATATATATATATATATATATATATATATATATGACTGCGTGGTCAAAGTCGGATCCATTTAGGCCTACTTTTGTACATATGTAGCAAGATGCCTGTCTGCCTGTTTGTTCGCATCTATCTATGGCCATACGAATCTATCGGTATGATATATGTATCATACATCATTCTTTTATTTCATGTTGCTCCTGTCTGTATATGTGTAACAGATTTTTGTATCTATCTATCTATCTATCTATCTATCTATCTATCTATCTATCTCAGTCTGTTCCCATCTTCTCTGTCTGTTTATATTTATTTATCTCTCTCTTCATGTCTGTTCATATCTATGTATTTCAATCTGTTCATATCTATCTATCTATAAAGATGCTATGAGTTCTAGCCCTGGTATATATATATATATATATATATATATATATATATATATATATATATATATATATATATATATATTGGTTCACCAAAAATTATGGCGCGTTTCTCAAATCAAAAGAAGGAGAATGTTCATGTAAACATTTGTCTGCAAATCCTTTTTGAGTTATTATGTTTAAAGTTTACGTTGTTATGTGTACAATCCAAGATACAGTCGAAATTACTTATTAGCTTAGTCTCTGGTGCTACGGATCCTATCTCAGCAACACGACGATAAACAGCACCAAAGATTGAATGACTCGGCTGCCTCCGGTCTGGAAACGCAATCGGAAACAGTCGTGCAGCCTCGCGTCCAATATCATTCGCGTGATCATATGTAAAAATCATATCTGCCAGCTCAAGATATGAATATCCTGCCATTGTTAAACCGAACACTCCTCAGTTAACTCACTATTACACACGTTAAACGTTGAAGACAGACTAGACATAAATGTACACGAATGATAAATGTAACCTTGTGTACATAGTCAGAGATCGTCATCTACCGTTAACTTTCTTTAAACTTTATGACTCAGAACTTAAGAATTTACAGACATATGGTTATATGGACTTTTGTTCATGTTTTGGTGTGAGGAACCCGCCTCAAAAACTTGTAAAATTATTTTTGATACACCCTGTATATATATAAATTTGTGTGCGTTCACTGGGAATGAAATGCTCAAAAGTAATTAAATATATAAATTCGGTTGAGGATATAACGTTAAAGTTTGGCATAAATTCGGGTAAGCCATAAAATTATTTCACTGTTTACACGTAAATCGTGACAATTTTTATAACATCCCAGTGTATTATGGAGGACATTTCGTGTATTTTAATTATCATTTAATCTGGAAGTTCCAGACGAAAATGTTTTTTTTTATTATTGCACATTTTGTTCGGACGCGCGTTAGCAGGCGAATTATTTAAAATTTTATTAAATCATATATTCGCATGATAAAAGTAATTTAATTTCCCTAAGTTTAAAGGCATAAAGAATATTGATTATTAATATATAATACATGTGTGTGTGTGTGTGAATTTAACTGCAGTAATAGACTGGCGTCGAGATCTCATCAATTTACCGTGGAATTGTAACCGTCAATTTTATGCAAACAGATTCTCTTCTCGCACTTCGTGATTGTGGAACTCCCTTTCGTCTCCATGTTTTTCAGCCAACTTTAATCTTCAACAATTTACATTCAATGTCAATGGCTATCAACTGTTCTCCTGATTACTCTTTTCTCTTTCTGAAATGTTTTTGTTTTCTAATTCTTCCACACTCAGTCACCCCTTGTGTCTTAGTGGCTTTACTGCCTTGAATGGACTGAACTCGATTAAAAAGAAATGTATTAATGTATTTTCTGTTTATACGTTATTTTTATAAATACAAATATTTAAGTAAATGCAATGTTTATAATAAACAGTGTTAACAACATTTACCGGCCTGAGAGACCGAGAAATCCTATAGAAAATATGTGTCTTCCGATAGGAATCGAACCTGTATCCTACACGGAAACGTCATTTGACCTGAGGTGCTATACCATTTCGCTACAGTGAAAACGTCTGATTAGTAAAGTCAAATTACGGAGGACACATATTTTCTATGAAATTTCTCGGACAATCAGGCCAGTAAATGTACGACAAACTAAGGAACGAGATGAGATTTTCCAAGCGTAGCTCAGATGTGACACAAGGCCGAAAGTATGGGGCACCCAGTGAGGATCGAACTCACTACTCATTCGTAATTGTGATAGAGAGACAAGCTTGCTAACTATTACACCGCCTCTAGGTGTCCAACTAAGGAACGAGTAAGACAGTTACTTCGTCTTCTCACTGAGAATTGATGCAACACTAGGTCGGGTTTAGTGTGGGGAACCGGAGCACATACACCCGATAACAAGAATTGACCAGAACTTCGCAACCGTCGGTTGCGCTGGCCACGGTAGCGACTACCAACTCGACCTCTCTAGCGCAGTTGTTCCCCATGACCTGGCACCTCGCAGTATTTATTTTTCTTAAATGCGCCTCTGTCCGCGCGCAGAGCCACAACTGATTTCCACTCTACCCGAAGACAGAGACGCAACAGAGAGATGATAAACCCTATCAGGTTAAATAAAGGAGTATCATTTAAACTAAACTAAAGAAAGAGTATCCTGATTGGTCAATCGCGGTCGGCTATTGTTTCAGCAAGACAATACGAGGCCACACACTGGAAGGTTGACTAAGGAGAAGTTCAAACAGATGAACGGTATTGAGATGCTTTCACATCCACCATTCACTCCCAATGCTGCTCCGAGTGACTACGGCCTATTCCGCTGAATGGCACACTTCCTCCGCGACCAGAGCTTCAACAATTTTGATGAAGTGAAGTAAGCTTGTTTACAGTTTTTTGTTTTTTTTTTTTTTATTCAAACCCGGCGAACTGGTATCTGGGATAGATTCGAATGCTGGCTGATCGCTGGCAGAAGTTTATCGAGAATGGACTTCATTTTGAAGAATAAAATTTTCTGCTGCTTGATAAAATTTTGTAGTTTTCTTTTCACTTCCAAAATGAGCCAAGACTTTCTGGCTAACCTAATACACATGTATGGTTATGTATATGTTTCTATGTGTGTACCTCTGATGGTTGCTCCTTGTTGTGGTAGAGGGTCTTGCATGGTCCAGTGACACTGAGAGTGATGTCGTCGGTAGTTCTAAACTCCAGGTAGGGTCGTCCTTAGCGGCAAGGTCGAGGAAGAGGACACAGATTAAGTGCGACAAACCCCGAAGACCCCAATGGTGGAATAAGTGGATGATAATTGCAACAGATCTCAACATTTGAACCAGCAGATGAAGAGGACTACGCACGAGAGACATGCTACAGAAGGCGTCACTTAAAATTATAAAAGAGTTGCAGTCCATTGCAGTTTCAAGGTCATACATTGTCAGGTTGACTATGGAGAGAAGTTCAAACATAATGAATCCTGTTGAGATTTTAACATCCACCATTAAGTCCTGATGCTGCTCCGAGTGACTATGACCTTATTCCGCTCAGTGACGCACTTCTTTCGTGATTAGAGATTCAAAACATTTGAAGGAAGCTTGTTTATAGTTTTTTTTTTATTCAAAGCCAGCCGACTGGTATCTGAGACAGATTCCGATGTTGGCTGATCGCTGGCAGAAGATCGTCGAGAATGGTGGACTTCATTTTGAAGAATAAATGTTGGTGTTGCTCCGTAAAATTTTGTTGTTTTCTTTCCTCAGTCAACACTTTGTGGCCAACCTAATAGATTGCCTATACATTTAACTTTGAATAACTTGAAACAAAGCAATCTTATTTTCCATCCATATTTTCTAAAGCACGGGAAGCACGTAAGTGAATGTAATGGATTCGACTGGAATTCGAACTCGGCTCTACGATTCCTCAATTCAAGCCGCTATCCATTACTATATATATATATATATATATATATATATATATATATATATATATATATATAAAAGAGCTATTTAAAATAGTGTTGTCATTAACCACGATCACTCAATCATGACACTCCCAATTCTTGACAAAATGTAATGTTTATCATTTTCTGACGCAAAGGTTTCTATGGCTGATCGCGTGATTATAATTAACAAATCAAATTTCAATTTAATTTATTTTTTTGCAGTTTCCTTTCTAACCTTTTGTTTGAAGAAGTGTGGAATGCCAATATCTTTATATTGTCCTTATTTTTTCTTCATCGGAATTTTACAAAACAACAAAAACACAATCTCTGCATTATCCGCTCATTGTAATGATTCCGACTATAATTTCCATTCTAATACATTGATTTCATATAAAGAGAAAACAATGTATTCAAAGTGCACTGATTTCTGAGTCTTCGTGTTAAATTAATGCCATGGTTCTTTCAATGTTTCATATCTCTTAACAAATCATCTGTAGCCGCAGTTGGGGATATGTAAAAACAACAACAACGATAAAAATCCTAAAAAAACAGTTGGTAGATCGGTTGAGCTGTACGTTTAGACTCGTCGGACGCCAGAAATTTCAATATTTAAAATGTCAGATTTATCGTCGCTACATTTTCAGCGTTGCCCCTCGGTACATAATTATAATCGACGTTTTCTACAGTAGAAGCCGCACAAAACGAGAAGCCTCGGTGAATCCAATTGAACATGACAAACATCATGTTCAATGTCAACAGCAGGCAGATTAATTTAAGCTGAAATTTCTACACTCAGAGCTGTAGCATAGTGGACTAAAGATTTCAGGACATAGTAATTCTGAATTCAGTTTAATGGCTGGTTGGTGACTGATTAGGTTCAGCAGGTAGAGAAATAACTAAGCAAAACTGAATAAAAACAAGACGAGATATCCGTAGACATGAAACGCAAAAAGAGAACAATCTACATGTTCGGAAATCCCTGAAGTTTAGACGGATCGACAAGCGCCAACAAACATAAAGTCAATAGTTCACATTTATATGACGAAAATAGTGATAGTTCTTCATTCCAGACAGGGACAGAGGATTTGCAAAGAGTTGGATGAGTCTAAGGATAATTAGGAAAGTACGGCAGGTCGGAAACTCACTCTGATCATTCTGATAAAAATAAAACTTCCGAATTTGTTGATAACGGCCTCAGACTCAACACGGAGGCGTAAATTAAGTGCCTTGAGGAGGTAACGTTGCCCTGTGTCAAGAGTGTGGCTGCTTGAAGAACCTATGTCTGTCAACATGACACTGCACCATGCCACACAAACAGGAGAACCCAGTCATGGCTGTCAGATAATTTTTGTGACTACATTACTCCATACATCTGGCCACCTAACTCCCCAGATAGCAACCACCCTGTTATTATGTGTCAGGTGCATTAGAGTGGGAGACCTAGAACATTCCTTGTAACACTAAAGATGAACAGAAGGCAAGGATTATGGCAGCATTCAATGAGACAGTCCAGAAAAGTTGAAAGAGATTTCAGCATTGTTTGAATGTCCTAGTTGAAGCCAATTGCGATTCAATTGAACAAATGTACTCTTTAGTATTTCAAGATATTTTGTGTAATTTTGGTAAATATATCTCTTAAAAGGAGATGTCTGTATTATTTTCATTTCTGCGAAATTTAGACGACAATTTATCCATTGCATCCTGTATGTATGTACGTTTACATAAATCAATCGATTTCTCTGTCTTAAACTGTTTATAACTAATTCGATTCTTGTCTGTCTCTCTATTGATCTTAGACTAGCCATACCGTATATCTATCAAGCTATCTATGTTAAGTTATTCAGATCCACTCTTCTCTGTTTCAATCTTTCTATCTGTCAATCTCTCAGTTTGTTCATCTCTAATATTCTATTAATCTCAGTCCTAGAATATCTACCAATATATCTCAGTCTGTTCCTATCTATCTATCTATCTATCTATCTATCTATCTATCTATCTATCTATATTTCTCAGTATGTTCCTGTCTATATTTATTACTCAGTCAGTTTCTATCTATCTATCTATCTATCTATCTATCTATCTATCTATCTATCTATCTATCTATCTATTTCTGTTCCTATATATCTATCAATCTATCTATCTCAGTATGTTCCTGTCTAACTTTATATCTCAGTCAGTTCCTATCTATCTATCTATCTATCTATCTATCTATCTATCTATCTCTCTATGTCATCTCAACAAAGTTTGTCTTTATCTATTTAAATATATTTACACGCACACACACACACATCCATATATATATATATATATATATATATATATATATATATATATATATATATATATATATATATATATATTAAAGAAAAACAGACCACTTTAAGGTTCCATTATAATAATTTATTTCATCAGAGCCCTTTTAAAAGACTCCGGATCATTAGATAGCACTTCCAAAAATGAAACGAAAAGTGAAATGAAAATTGATGGGTAGTGTAAGTTTTTTGTAATTTAACAGAGAATGTAATAGGTGTAGTTAGAGAGACCTGGTAGAGTTTAGGGAGGGTTTAATTTAATATCTCTCTCAATCATACTTAGTATTAGGGGAGGTTAGAGGCTGTGAATGGGTTTTAATATTGAGGAGATGGTTTGCAAGTTTTAGCAATTTATGTAAAAAATAGATTTTAATGTTTGATAGTAATTTAGATGTCAAGAAAAAAAAACCGAAGAAATTAATTTGATGCTTGCTAGCAATTTAAATATTTAACTTTTTTACAAATAATTTAAGGATTTAATATAAGTTAAATACTGTATTTATTAACACATTCATAGAGAACATATTAAAAAAAAATTAAACTATAACAGTTAGTTTACCCGACCTATAGTACTCTTTTAATATTGTAAAAGACAGTTAAGGTAACATCTTTATCAGTTTGAATCTAATTTATGAATGTAATTTGTAATTATTTTTAGATGGGTATTTTTCGTGAGAGCTCAATGTATATCCAGAGCTAATATATTTTTCTCTCCCCCTCTCTCATTTCTGTTATGCTAACCGTTTAAATAGGTCAAGGTCTGGTCACACCTCCTCCCCCAATACTAAGTACTATTGCCCCTGTTCTGCCATCCAGTCACATGAATTCGTTAATTAGACGCTTCCCTACTCTCCATGTTTTTCTTGCCATCTGTTTGTCGAGTAAGTGTTACAGTCTATAGGTGATCACGGCTCACCTCAACTTCCCGCTCATTGTTGTTCTCAGTATCATTTTACTATTTACCATCGCTCTTTGTCTCTGATCTGCCGTCCATTCTCAAAAACACATTATATAGGTGACAGTTTCCTTCTGATTCGCTTGCTTTCAATATGTTCTAAATGCTCTAGAACAGGGGTCAGCAACTCATTCGACTCCGCGGGCCGGATCGTGTTATAATGACTGGTCGCGGGCCGGACGAAGGCCATTAATGAAAAATTAAGGAAAATTACATATGCAGACCCCTGTCAACGTAAAAATTTAAAAACATAATGAAAATAAAGATTGAGAAATCAGAAAAACAAAAGAAAATCTAAAGTTAAAAAAACACCTAACAAAATTTACTTTTCCTCGAGGAACGTCAAAATACTTCAAAGTGAAAAAAATCAACCGAAGTGAAATGGATGAAATTATGACGTGTAGGTTTGAAACTGTTATTGAAAATTGTTCCACAAAGGAACCACACACACACATCAAACAAAAATGAAGCACATATACCCATACATACGAGTACAAATAGTTGCAAACATATACACTTACGTACGTACACATGCGGTATCATCCACACATTCATGAGGCATGTGTGTTTAACTGTCTTTAGATTTCTGCTACCTCGCATGTCAGTCCCTCCCTGGCCTCTTTCACTTTATCGTTCCTTTCGCTTCTGTTACCTTTTAATGTAGCCAAGGGTCATAACAAATATGTATCCATTATTTGACATTAAACGTAGGCAACGCAACTTGGTAAAATAAGTCTCATGAAAGATAACTGGCAGATAGTCTAATTCGAAAGCCTCGTCTCTCATGTTAAAAATAGAGTCATTGGTAATCAGGCTCGCGGGCCGGTCAAAATGCCTTCGCGCGCCGGATCCGGCCCGCGTGCCGTAGGTTGCCGACCCTTGCTCTAGAAGATAATGGCTATCCACAACTTCCTGTTCTTTTTGTGGGGTTTGTTTGTTTTTTTGGGTATTTACCATCACATTTTGTCCCCGTTCTGATATTCATTCGCGCAAACTCGTTCATCAGATATTCACTGTTTCTCTACAATTCTATGTCTTATGGGAATTAAATTCTCTAGACGATCACGGCTCTCCACAATCCCCCCCTTTTTGTTTCTCTATTTAACATTTGACCAGTTATTGTTCCACGTTGTCCCTGTTCTGCCATCTTTTCCCACAAACTCGATATGTAGTTTGTAAGTTATGTCAGGAGGCTTTATTTTCCTCATGATGACTTGAGGGTTTAAATTATACACACCCCTCGAAATGTTCCTCAAGAATTACCATTGCCTTTTTCTGACTGTAAGTAAAATCTCCCTTCTTGCTGGTATTTTCCTTAAAAATGCCACGTTGCTTAGATATTCCATCAATGATATTCATAATAATGGTTAATAAAATCATGTATCTTTCGCTTCAAGTTTAGTTTTCATCTGCGATGAAATTCTACAACATTCACTACATTCTCGGCTACATTTTGTGTGTCTATATATATATATATATATATATATATATATATATATATGTGTGTGTGTGTGTGTGTGAAAAATATATAGAAAAATAGGAAGGAACTGGTTTAGGTAAATAATCCAAAGTTCCGAATCATATTTTTAAATAAATAATTATATATATATATATATATATATATATATATATATATATATATATATATATATATATATTATGCCAACAGTACCACTACGAGTTTCAGCTACTATGCAATAATCAGGTAAAAATGAACTGGTCGCAATGTGCTTAATAATTCAAGGTCTTATTTGTAAATGATGATTGTATATTGCATGGCACTCCGAGTTGTACTGTCGGTGTTGGGTATTATGTATATTCATTAATATATATACATATATATATATATGTTTGTGTGTAGGACAATGTAAATGTTTTCATGTGACGCGTTTCGTTCTTAGGACTTCATCAGACTAAATGTGTTACGTTTGTGCGACTACAAATGCACCCGACTGAGGAACGCTGGGAAGTTTAAATTTATTTACATTTATATATATATATATATATATATATATATATATATATATATATATATATATATATATATATATATAATATAACCGATTTAATTTAGGTTCTTTTTCTTTTTCCTTTTTTTTCCATTATTTTATTGTTATTAGATATCTCAAATTCCCAGGGATGGTGAAATATTCTAAGAGTCAATTCGCAAATTTGTTAGGGATGATTTTCCGGTTAAGGAACTCTCTAGACATTTTTCGTGTTAGCGAATTGTTTTCTTCGTATGACAGAGTAGCATTTTATGCCAAAATCTTGGTCAGTGTCGTTACTATGGCAACAAACGCATTTGACGTATTATTTTGTAAAATATCCCTTTTGTATTCATGTAATTTTTCATTTAGATTCCTTGAGGTTTCTCCTATCTATTTTTGTGACAGTTATTACAGGCGATCGAGTAAATTCAAATTCTTTCACGTTTTAGCGTATTGTTTTGTTTAGTATTTTTGTTGCTGTTGTTGTTTTAGATGTTGTAGTAACTAATTTATACTGAGATTTTCATTGTTAAAAATATTTTCCTATACTTTAACACCTAGGTAAGTTTCAGGAAGGCTTGAGAAGATTGTCTAGCGTTCTCTGCCGTATAGGAGTTTAGATATTACAGAGCAGTTCAGCACTCTTTTCTTTGCTTCTAACGTTTTCCAATCTCTTAATACTTTGTTTAGTTTCTGAAAGGCATCTTTCACTGTTCCTCTAAAAGGCTTACGGCCATATCATGTTGAAACACAAGTTCCCGTACGATCATCGATGTTAAGCAACGTCGAACCTAGTCAGTATCTAGATAGGTTACCGCTAATCAATGCCCAGCTGGTGAGAGGCATAATGGCTCCGAATTGGAGAGCCGGATTTTAGTTTTAATTCGTTATATTCAATTACGAGCAATCACCGATAGAAAAGGTAAGTATTCACATCTTCTCTCCAAACCATCGATTAATTAGTAAGATTTTATTACTAAATCGTTATTATCTAAAAACAAAAGTTCAATCTAAAAATATTTCCTGGCTTTAAATAACCTACAAAGGTTTGATAAACCGTAAAAAATAAATAAATCAGTATTCGTATACACTTTCTCTTCTTGTGTTAAAGTTTTGGCCTTCTGTTCCTAGACTTCTCATTTTGGTACAATCTCATACCTCCAGTTGGCCTTTTTACTGATGATCAATCATCATGTCTTCTTACAGTTAATTGTGCTTACTTCTTGTTTTCATTTACCACCTCGTCCTTTAAGTATTATTTCTGAATATGTCATCAACATTGTCGTACGTATATCCTGTAGGGTTATTTGTTATTATTCCGGTAAATAAATGATTTCTTATATTATTTAAATCCAACCATTTTCATTTGCCAAATATTTGTATCGTTGACAGAGTGTAGTTCATTCTAGTGAAACACTTGTGGCTTATGATTTTTACCCACGAGTGAAAAACAAAACAATTTCTAGCAGTAAACCAGAGGTAAGGCTGAGAAGTTAGTAAACGGGATGTGCGCAGTTCATCGGTCGTCGTCTATGTCCTTCTGTCAGGTCCACTTCCTTCTTTTTTTTCATTTTCGAGGGATGGCCAGTTTCATAGACAACAGTTTTCTTTGTCTTATCATCTTCGTCTAAAAAGTAATTAATCTTCCTTCTGTCACTTTCTCTCAGTCTTAGCCTCTTGCTCTTGTACTTGGATGTTGACGCCAATTACTGATAGACATCGATTGAAAATAAAAGTTCCGTATAGAGTAGCGGCACACGTCTCGCTGTTTTTAAATTTAACAAGAACTCGTATTGCTACATTTCCCTTGGTAACTTACACAGAACACACGTTTCAAAATTATTAAGGTACTCCTCTTTTTGAAATCCATGAAATAAGTGAATTTTCTTTGAATTTTATTTAGCATCCCGACTCCAGTTATCTCATAGACTGCTGATGTATTATTTATCGACAGCTCTTACGGGTGTATTCACAAATGTTTACCATGTGTTTTTATTTTTCTTG